AAATACACTGGGACTTTTATTTTTCATGCTTTTATTTGTAGGGAAAAAACCATATAGGAGAAGTGGTTTAATTGTTCCAAGTGACAATGCCACACAATTCATGCATTCCCCCTCATTCTAGTTGTGTGGATTTTGAAACAAAGCATGTCTTTTGGGGAAGGAAGACAAACCACAGTGGATGAGGACAGAATCTGAGCAGGAAATTGTAAACACGGGAAAAATTTGCCCAATTCATATGCTGGAGGTCATGGAAAGCAGAAACTGAGAAAAATAGGGAGTGCATGAGGGAATACTCACATTCAAATGTGCTATAAGTGGGGAAACTGTTTTGGCTCTCAGCTAGATCTCTGTGAGAATCACACTGTACCAGTATTGAGCTCCAATTAAATGGGTTATTTGGTATGGTGTACTGTATTACGTTTGCAGCAGAAGACTGCTACTGACTGGCAAGAGAATTACCTCAATTCTCAAATGTGTTCAGATGAAAAGCATAAAATCTAACTCATAGTAGTTGCCTGTTCATAATAGAGAAGTTTAATTGTTTCAAGTAGATCCTAGCTACATAATGAACTGGGCATGCATCATTTCAGATATGTGGGGGAAACCATACAGTGCCTTTATGATTTTATCCTAAATGTTAATCATTATTTTCTGGGAATGTGGGATTTGGCATACAAGATTTTTTTACTTCAACTTTTTATGTTAAAGTAAAAACTCATTTTAAAAAAGATTCATGCTAACTTTCCTGCTCGTCAGTCAACTACCATCATTATTGTTAGTGTGCAGAAAAGCAGAGGTCCAGAATTACAAGCAACATGAAAATAAGCAAATGGCATGGAAGTATCACAGCTCTAACAGTTAATATTCTCTAAATCAGTGTTTCTCAAACTGTGCTCCTCCAGGTGTTTTGGATTTCAGTGTCCAGAAATCCCAGCCGGTTTACCAACTGTTAGGAATTATGGGATCTGATGTCCAAAACATATGGATAGTGCAATTCGAGAAACCCTAAAGGTTTTCCTTGACATTAATCCCAGACTCTGGGGGCTGGTGCTCATCTCCATTTCTAAGTCAAAGAGCTGGCGTTGCCCATAGAAAACTTCTAGGTCATACGGCCGACATGACTGTATGGAGAGCTGTTACCTTCTCTTTGGAGCAGCACCTACTGATCTACTCACATTTGCATGTTTTCAAATTGCTAGGTTGGCAGAAGCTGGGGCTAACAGCAGGAGCCCATCCTGCTTCCCAGATTCAAACCACCAACCTTTTGGTCAGCCAGTTCAGCAGCTCAGTGGTTTAACCTGCTGCACCACCAGGGAGCCCAACAATACCCTAACCCTATTCTAATTAAGGGGGGAGAGAAATATATAAAATATAGAAACCCTACTCTAAATGGATTCAACAACAATGTCCATCAGTCCCAGTCACTACGGCAGTAGTCTGAAATAATAGGAATTGTAGTTCAAAAATATAAGGTGGCAGTTGCAAATACCCTAACCTGGAGATAGTACTGTGAGAAATATGACCAAACCACATATATAACATATATATTGAAATCATCTAGCCCCCAAATCTTCATTGCAGATCTGATTGTGAAAAGACACAAAAACCCTTTCAATTTATGTTGCCTCTGTCCTAAGTATCTGTTTCTCTGTGTTAAAAAAAATCCAAGCTAATATAAATTAAGACTACTTTAAAAATACACATGCAATTTTCTTTAAGTACCATTGTAGTTTCTATTTTAATGAGCCCAGGATGAAGAATTTCAGCCACGTCAAAATCTTGCCTCAGGCTGTCTGAGAATCTGAGAACACACTGCTGCACTATTTTTCCTTTACGTCATATTTGGAAGGACACATATGAGCAAGTTCAATTTTGGCTTTGTTCCAGACTCTGACACTCACTCACTGAGGCTGCGGGAAAGTGATTAACCTGAACAGCATCTTAGCTTCCTGGTGTGCTGTAGAGATAATAAATACTGTCTTTCTACTATGAGAGGCTACAATCCTTAATCCACTGGCCTGGCTAGTAAACTCTATTGAAGTTGATATGGTTTACAGTCACTCAAGTGGGTGCAGAAAGACAGATTAAATTAAGTGAACAAATTAAGCAAACAAAGGATAGCTCATTCTGAAACATTAACAACTCTTCCTAGGTTACATTGAAATAGTGATCTTATACATATTTATCAAAAGCATAAACATAAAACCTAAATAAAATTTCAATTCAAAAAAATGGAGAACACACAGAAGGCCCAACATTAAAAAAAAACCCTCTATGCACCATAGGTACTGTTCTTCACTTAATATACAGTATATTCTGGGGCTGGATCTACACTGTTGATGCAATTTGAACTGCATTATATAGTTAGTGTGGACCAATATTAATATCAAGTCCATACAGAGTTTATGGTAGAGAATACTGGGGTAGAGTACTAGGCCTATTTTAACAGTGGTTCCTAAGCAACCAGAAAAATACATCTATTCAGCATCTGCCAATACTTTTAGTACCTGGTATCAGAGGGCCCTTCCACACAGCCATATAACCCAGAATATCAAGATAGAAAATCCCACAATATCTGCTTTGAATTGAGGGCCCTTCCAGACAGGCCCTTTTCTGTTTATCACAGAATATCTGGCTGTAGGGAGTCACATAATCTGGTTTTATGCAGAAAACCTGGGATATAGGGCTTGTCTGGAAGGGCCTTGGGTTATCTGAATCCACGCTACAATATAGAAAATGAAAAAAATATGGGATTTTATTCAGCTGTGTGGAAGGGCTTGAGGGCCCTTCCAAACAGGCCCTATGTTCTAGGATCTGATCCCAGGTTTTCTGCTTTGAACTGGATTATATGAGTCTGAACTGCCAGATAATATGGGATAAACAGAAAACCTGGGATCCAATCCTGGGATACAGGGCCCGTCTGGAAGGGTCCTGAGAGAATACTATACAACTTTAACTTAAGAAGCAAAACAAAACTAGAGCATAGGATCCATAAGAAAAGAAAAAAAACATACCAAAGGTACTGAAAATATACCAAAAGAAGAAACTGCCACAATATGCTACATTACTGAGAAATTGTGGAAAATCAGAAAACTCTCAAATATACAGAAAACACCACTTATGTGGCATAGGCCCTTCTACACAGCCATATAACTCAGAATATCAAGGCAGAATAACCCACAATATCTGCTTTAAACCGAGGGCTCTTCTACACAGTCCTATATCCCAGAATATCAAGGCAGAAAACCCCACATTATCTGAGTATGGTCTCAGATAACTGAGTTCAAAGCAGATAATGTGGGTTTTCTGCCTTGATATTCTGAGATATAGGGCTGTGTGGAAGGGCTCTGGAATACCTGAGTCCACATTGCCATATATCCCAGTTCAAAGCAGATATGCTGGGGACCTTCCACACATCTCTATATCCCAAAATATCAAGGCAGAAAATCCCCCAATATCTGTTTTGAACTGGGTTATCTAATGCTACCCTGCCATATATTCCTGTTTAAGCAGATAATATGGGATTTTCTGCCTTGATATTCTGGGATATAGGACTGTGTGGAAGGGCCCTTGAAAACTAACCTATATGTACCTCCCACACACAGAGATCCTAAAACCTAAGCAATAAAGCAGGCATGGGCAAACTTTGGCCCTCCTGGTGTTTTGGACCAACTTCCACAATTAGGAATTGTGGGAGCTGAAGTCTAAAACACACGGAAGGCTGAAGTTTGTCTACGCGTGCAATAAAGTCTTTGGAACCAAACTGCTTCCCTCAGAACTACAAAGAGGAAGCTTAAAAAGACATTTAAGTGGGTGGGGGGAGAGATCTAACATACTGACAACTCTAAATATGAGGAAGATATAACATAGTGGAGGCTTTCCTCCCTGAAGGCCCTACAACACTGGTTCTCAACCTGGGGTCCCCCTATGTTTTTGGCCTTCAACTCCCAGAAATCCTAACAGCTGATAAATTGGCTGGGGTTTCTGGGAGTTGTAGGCCAAAAACATCTGGGGATTCCAGGTTGAGAATCACTGCGCTACAAGGGTACCCTAAAATAGTATTTAAGGGGCGCAGGGTGAGGAGTGCAGGGGGGGGGGTGAGGAGAGAGATCCAAAATACTGAAAACTAAATATGAGGAAGGTTGAACATAGCGGAAGCTCTTCTCCTGAAGGCCCTTCAAGGACGCCCTAAAATGGTATTTAGAGGGTGCAGGGTGGGGGGAGAGTGAGGAGAGATCTAAAATACTGAAAGCTCTAAATATGAGGAAGGTAAAACATAGTGGAAGCAGTCCTCCCTGAAGGCCTCTCAAGGACACCCTAAAATGGTATTTAAGGGGTGCGGGGGGGGGTGAGGCGAGAGATCTAAAATATTCAAAACTCTAAATATGAGGAAGGTAGAACATACTGGAGGCTCTCCTCCCTGAAGGCCCTTCAAGGGCGCCAAGGGAGCTTTTTTCAAACAGCCATTTTCCTTTCCCCCCACCCCTGTCTTAAAGGGCAACCCCCCTCTATCTTTTTCCTGTGGGGAACCCGAAAGTGACAGCTGACACTGTTGTTTTTTTAAAGGGGGAGGGGGAACCATTCCCTGTGGAAAATGGGTTGGGGGTTAACTCCCTGCTGCCACTGTTTGGGGGGGGGGCGAGAAAGAGAGGAGAGGCGTGAGCGGGAAAGCTTCCCGCCTCTCTCTCCTCCGTTGGGAAGGCCATGGGGAAGTCTCCCTCCCTCCCGTCTGTCTCCACTCCCTCCCCCTTTCCTCCTTGAGGGAGGCCCTCCTGAGGCGGAGAGCCCGGGGACCCTTGCCTGCCTGCCTCTCCCCATGTCCCTCCTCCGGGCGGGCGGGCAATGCGCGCTGCGGAGTCTCCCTCCCGATGCCCCCACCCACCCCTTGCCTCCCTCCCTCCCTCCTTCCTATCCGCCCGTCCCTCCATTCCATCCATCCATCCCTCCGTCCCTCCCTCCGGGCGGGCGGGCACTCACCGCTTCCACTGCTTCGGGAGCCTCCTCCTCCTCGGGCTGCGGCTCCTCTTCCTCCTCGTCCTCCTCCTCCTCGTCCACTTCCTCCGGCGACGGCGGGCCGATCTTGCTGCAGGTAGCCGCCAAGAGCGCCAGCGGGGACGGCTGGGTGTCCTAGAGGCGGGGAGGGGAAGGGAAGGGAGGGGAGGGGGACGGTTAGTCAATCAGTTAGTCCTCCATCGAGGCCTCCTCGGTGTGTGTGTTTGTGTCCCATCGAGGCCTCCTCCTCTGTGTGTTTGTGCCCCTTTCCCAGCCAATCACCTGGGGGGTCTCATCCGAGGCCTCTCCCGAAGCAGCGGCGGCGTTGTTGTTGTTGTTTCCGTGCTGCAGATACTCTCCGCTGCTGCTGTGGCCTCCTCCTCCTCCTCCTCCGCTGCTGCTGCTGCTGTCCACGTCCAAGGCAGCCATTTCCTCTTGTTTCACAGGCTTCTCAGGAGCTGCGGGCAGAACAGGGAGGGAGGAAGAAGGGGGGGGGGTTTGGATTTTTTTGTATTTTTAGGGGGGGAAAGCAGGGTGGTTTTTTAGAAAGGGAACCCCATAGAAAGAGGGAGGGAATGAGGGTCAGGAATAGCAATGGGGAGGGAGGGGGGAGAGAGAGTGCCGGCCCCCTCCCTGGGCTGCCTTCCCGCCTGACCCCTCCCTTTGCTCCCTTCCCCCTCCTTTGCTCCCGCCCTGCTCGCCTCCTTGCCTGCCTTCCCGCCCGCGCGCAGGGGCCTCCTCCTCCTCTTCTTCTTCCTCCTCCTCCTTTCCCTCCGCCGCTGCTGCTCCTCCTTGCTTGCCCGCCCGCCCGCCTGCTGCCCCTCTCCTCCTCCTCCCTCTCTCTCCTCCTCCTCCTCCCCCTGGCTCTGCTCCTCCCGCCGCTCAGAGCCAGTGAGGCTCCAGCCACGCTCCGAAGAGGACCTGCCACGACGCGCAAGGCCCTCACGTACCGGTCATCGTCCTGCAGGCGGAGGTTTGGACAGGCAAGCGAGGAAAGGAGAGGGAGGGGGGAAAAGAGGAAGGAAGCTACGCGCTGGCTGCTCGCTCTCTCTCTCCCGCGCAGGCAGGCAGGCCCCGCGGTCTGGGCTAGGCGGCCCTCCTCTTCTCCTCCTTCTCCTCCTCCGGGGCCATGCTTTTAGGGTGCGGGCGTGAGGAGAAGGCTGGCCACGGAGGCTTCCCTGGCTTTGATTGACGGAGCGCGGAAGCCCAAAGGTGGGGCTGGTGGGGAACAGCGCGGGGGCCCCGACGCCGCCGCCGCCACTACTACTACCACCGCCGCCTTGGCCCGCCTGCCCGGAATTCCCGCCTCTCCCGCGCGCTCATTGGCCCCCGCGCTTCGCCTTCCCGCTCCCCATTGGACAGCCCGCCTTGTCACTCAGCGCCCTCTGCTCTGGTTGGCCCCCCTGCTCTTCCTCTGCCGCGCGCTCGCTCTCTCTCTCCCCCGCCCGCGTCGAGGTGGCTTCCTGTTTTTGCCTGGGTTTGTGTGAGAGACAATGAGTGAGGCCTCCTTCGCCTTTTCCTCGGCGCAAACTAAGGCCCAAAGCGGCTCCTCGGGGCACACTTACCGAGCGTCCCCGCCATGGCTCCCTTAGTCCCCGACGTTGACGCCTCAGGGTCGGGACTCCCGCTCTCTCTGAAGCGGGAAAAGAAGCCATTCAGGGCGGCCTCGCCCGCCTCCTCAGCTAGGCGCCTGGTTTCTCTCTCTCGGCGGGGATTTGAAATCTCCCGCAGAGGTTATGAAAGCGGCCCAAACGAAAACACTGTTGTAAAAATGTCAGGCGGGGCCGCCTTGGCCTATTTGAGGCCTCTCTGTTGGAATGTGAGGGAGTGCCTTTCCACACAGCCCTATATCCCAGAATATCAAGGCAGATAATCCACATCATCTGCTTTGAACTGGAATATATGGCAGCGTGGAGTCAGATAACCCAAGGCCCTTCTACACAGTCCTATATCCCAAAATATCAAGGCGGAAAATCCCACATCTGCTTTGAACTGGAATATATGGCAGTGTGGACTCAGATAACCGAAGGCTCTTCCACACAGCCCTATATCCCAGAATATCAAGGCAGAAAATCCATAATATCTTCTTTAAACTGGAATATATGGCAGTGTGGAGTCAGATAACCCAAGGCCCTTCCACACAGCCCTATATCCCAAAATATCAAGGCAGAAAATCCCACATTATCTGCTTTGAACTGGAATATAGGGCAGTGTGGACTCAGATAACTCAAGGCCCTTCCACACAGCCCTATATCCCAGAATATCAAGGCAGATAATCCACAGTATCTGCTTTGAGCTGGAATATTTTGGAATGTGGACTCAAATAACCCAGTACCCTTCCACATAGCGCTATGTCCCAGAATATCAAGGCAGAAAATCCCACGTTTTCTTCTTTAAACTGGAATATCTGGCATTGTGGACGCAGATAACCCAGTTCAAAGCAGATCTTGTGGGATTTTCTGCCCAGCAGTTCGAAAACATGCAAATGTGAGTAGATCAACAGGTACTGCTTCTGTGAGAAGGTATCAGTGTTCCATGCAGTCATGCTGGCCACATGACCTTGGAGGTGTCTACAACACCAGCTCTTCGGCTTAGAAATGAAGATGAGTACCACCTCCCAGAGTGGGTCATCTGTATGTTGGTTCTTGCCACAGTTTTGTCCTTAGAGAGATTTAAATTAGCATATTGATCTCAGCTCAGTGCATTTTGTATGAAGAACTGACAATACTTTAAAGTGTCTATCTGGATGCTTATTTCAAAATAAGTTTTGATTTAGCTTGTCACGAGCCAACAAAGCAACCTGTCTTGAAAGAAATGAGCTTTAGAGACATAATCATCTTTAAAGTGAATGGCAATTCTTCCATTGATTTTAATGTTTCTTAATTGTTCTCCAGGAAAGCAATCCAATCTCTCACTGAGATCAAATGGAAGCATTCATTGATTGTAATGAATAGGGTCCTTCCCCTCCAGTAGTTATGGATTCCCTTATTCATGGATTTTATATCCATGTTTTCAGCTCCTTACACTCCAAAATACTTTCCCCAGAAGTGTTTGTGGGCCTCTCTAGGTCCTCCAGTGAAATTCTATGGTATTCTCCTGATCAGATATAGTAATAATATAGTGCTCACCATTACCCATGATTTCTATGGGGGCAATTGTGTCTTAGAATGTATCCCTGTGGATAAGGGGGTCATGATGTACTTTGTCAAGCATGCATGTTAGGAATTTGAGGTTTTCTTTTTAAAATATATATGTGGAATTTTTGTATCACCCAAACTTACACAGAACAGGATATAAAGTGTGGTACTTGGTTTTGTTTTGTTTTGGGGATTTTTTTTGTACCTTGTGTTTTACCTAACATAGCACACTTTTATCGGTTTGTCTTGGGGGTGTTGAACTATTTCAGATGTGCAGTGTGACAGTTTGCATATTTACTCAGAACTAAGACCCTCATTGTTGAATGGGATCTACAGTGCACTTTGTTTATTAAGTTTATTGCTTTTAGATTATTATTATGATTGCAGCAAACATTATCTTGCAAATTTGAGCAAGATGGCAGTAGCAGTGTTTCTGTTTGGGGACAGTATATTACGCATGTACTGGGTTTTATTTATTTATTTATTTACAGCTTTTATATTCCGCCCTTCTCGCCCCACAGGGGACTCAGGAAGGATTACAGTGTACACATATATGGCAAACATTCAATGCCAATTTTTGACATACAAACATATACAGACATACACAGAGGCTATTTAACTTTTTCTGGCCGCCAGGGAGCTATCGCTTTCATCGTCCATCTGCGACGCTGATGAAGCACTTCCGCATTCCCCACATGCTTCCCCGCTGGAATGCTTTGCTGGAGTCTTCTTTATGGCCTCATAAATCAGTTAATTTAGCCTCCCCACACTTTAAGGTGGTACCTAATTTTCCTACTTGACAGATGCAACTGTCTTTCGGGTTGCAAAGGTCGACAACAGGCTACACACAATTGGTTGGAAACCCACTCCAACCCGGGCTGGCTTCGAACTCATGACCTTTTAGTCAGAGTGATCTTAATGCAGCTGACACTCAGCCAGCTGCGCCACAATCCCGGTGTTGACTTTGATGCAAATAAGAAGTCTAGCTCTGGTAGCTGGAGTAATACAGCAAGAATAACTTGCACACTAGATGAGTTTATGATGTTCCCAACATTCTGCTTGTAGAGGCCATCAAGAGAAATTCAGTAACAGGCATCCATGTTTTCTGTGCCCATTTGCAACTGGCCAATTATGCCTCCTTGATAATATCTATTTATTAGTTCAAGCAGGCCTAAAACCATGCAAAGACCTAAACATTTTTGTTTTCCTTTTGGATGACTTTCATGACTAAGGGCTGAGACAGTGAAAGAAAAGGTAGTATTATATAGTAAACTGTATTCTCTAGATATTTTCATTTTTCAACATGTATTTTTCTGCCTCAAGTCACCAGGAAGCCAGATATATGAATAATTAGGGGCTTGTTGTACCACTTGACATATTATTATGTTAACAGATAACAGTAGCTTAATAGTATGCCAGTAGGAAATTAATTATTGGTTCGCTGGATGTTTGGGGCAACTGATAGAAAAGTAGGTGTTTAGCTGTATTTGCACAACCACATTTCAGCAGTGAAAGGAAACAGTGCAGTCATACAGCATCACTGTATATATAACTCCTGGTCCAGAAAGGAATCCATGCATGAAGCCTACTTCTATATGTGGGTCACTCTTGCAGGGTCATTGCATGTCAATTATATTTGAAGTGAAAATTCATATAATATTTGTTTAGCAAACTTTTTGCATGTACAGGTTGAATATGCCAGAATTCCAAACTACAGGCAATCCCCAACTTATAAACAACTCACAGTTAATAATGGGGAAGAGACAACATGAAGTGAGAGAAATCTGCTCATAGGAAGGGAAATTAACTCCTGAAAGAGTTACAGTGGGGAAAAGGTGTCTCCACCGAAGCTTTCTCAGCAATTCTTGTTTTTCACAACAAGCCAAATTTTGTAAAATCCAATTATCACAGTGACAGAAAGTGAGGTGAACTCTTCTGTACAAAGGCATAGACAGCAAAACAAACACGTGTGTGTGTGCGTGCGTGTGCGTGCATGTGACTGGAGTTACACTTTTGAAAGTACATGTTCCGACTTACAAACAAATTCAACTTAAGAACAAACCTACAGACCCTACCTTGTTTTTAATTTGGGAACTGCCAGTGCTCCAAAATAATCTGCAGGAGTGGCTGAGTACTTTGTTTCATGCAGAAAATTATCAAATATATTGTATAAAATTACCTTTGGGCTATATGAGGTATATATGAAATGTGTTCCATGTTTAGTCTTTGAAGCTATCTTCAAGATTATTGTGTGTGGATATATGTTATATTATTATAGTATTATGGCTATAGTTGCAAATACAGGTATTCTGAAATCCTAAACTCTTCTGACCCCAAACATTTTGGATAAGGGATACTCAATCTGTAAGTAACATACTTTTAGAATCAGGGCCAATCAGTACAGTTTTTGATTAATGCCAAGGTGCAGTGAAAATATCCCAGCCGACACTGAGGAGAAAGGAAGTGGGGGTGGGGGTGTTAGGTGGGGACTATGATAAAATATATCACAATTTGCAAACTCTTGAGGGCGTAGATCTCTGTGGACTCCCGACCCCTTGGTCTCCCTTCATGGTTTCTGAAAAATGTCTCCATGGCTGGCTGGGGAGGTGGTGCCTTCCATTGCTCAACACAGGGCCAGATCAAAGTGCCCCATCCCTTTGCCACAGCTCTTTTCAACATCTGAGGTGGGCAGACCTCACCGTCCCTTTCACCTGCAGCAGAGATGCCTCTGACAGCTGTCCTTCAAAAATCCAAGCCTTGTTGCTAGTTCTTGTAGCAAACCCACAGCATTTATTCATTTATTTATTTTATTTTTATCCCACCTTCTTCTAGATAAGGACTCAAAATGGCTAACAATAAATATAAAACAATGTTCATAAAATTCTACAAATAAATATTAATATTAAAATATTAAAATTAAGTTTTTGATATTAAAATAACTGACATTAAGAATATAAACATGTATTAAAATCCAATAATGCACATGGGGCATTCCTTCCCTTCCTTTCCTTCTTGGGTGTTTTTTAATTTGATGGCTGTGTTGTGATAGATGCTGTTTCACTTACCTGACTCCTTCCATAAAATATGTCCTTGCTTCATAATTTGTGACCTATGATTAGCCCTTCCCATTGAAGCTGTAAGCTCCTTGAGGCAGGGACCTGTCCATTGGTACTTTATCAAGCACATGCTCAGGACTGTAAATTAGGAATGTCACCAACCTGGAAGCACCTAGACCCCAGGAACTAAATTCAAGCCTTCAAGTTCATATCAAGGCATTGGATTCACCTTTTTTTCTTTAGGAAGCAAAGGAGGGTGTAGAATCATAGCAATTGCTTTGCTATTATCTTTCTTTGTTTTTTAGCTGCATTTTTTTTGTGATTGGCCCCCTTTTTTTAAAAAAAAACTGCTTTTTTGTTCCAGAATAAAATATGGCTACAGAAAAGCAATCAAAAAGAAGTGGAGACAATATAGTGTGGAACATATGAAATATGGATTTGTATCAGCACCAAATAACCAGCAACAACCAATGTGCCCTTTGTGTGAAAAAGTCTTTCAAATAAAGTCATGAAGGCTTCCCAATCATTTGAAGATAAAGGAGACAAAAACTTAGCTCATTTTCACTTTGAGAAAACTTTCAGAAATAGAAAGCATGCTTGCTAAAAATTCACAGCCCCAAGTCCCTATTGGGAGATAGTGACGAGGTATAAATAAAGTATTATTATTATTATTATTATTATTATTATTATTATTATTATTATTATTATTTGTGTGCATCATAAATATTTTATTGCTGAATCTGGTAATCCTCATACAATTGGAAATGAGCTCATGCTCCCAGCAGCAAGTGAGATTCAGCACACACTTATACTCAAGTCACTTGAACAAATTATTGAACTTCTCCCTCTCAGTAAGAGTTCTGCTAAAAAAAGAATGGATGAAATGTCTAAAAACACATGATATGGTTTGCTAAAGACAACACCATTTGGCTTACTATTAGATAAGTCTATTCTGCCAGACATTAAAATGTTGTTAGTTTCATAAAAAAGAAAAGTTTGGTTCAAGAGGTGTTATTTACGGGGAGTCCGTATTGTTTTGTTTTATTTTATTTTAAAGAGAAAGACATCTCACTTAATAACATTCTTGTTGTGCAACAGATGGGACACCATCAATGAGAGATTGTCATCATGGCTTCATTAGGTTTTTTTTTAAAACTACCCGATATATTTACAGTGCACTGTGTAATCCACAGACAACAATTGGTTGCAAAAAGCCTTAAGTGGTGAATTCGGTAAATCAGTTAAATTGGTTATCACTGCAGCAAATAAAATCAAGGCAGATACTCTCAATTCCTGACTGTTTCATTACCTATGCACTGGGAATTATGGCTGCATTTAACATTTGTTTTTGCACAGCAGAGTCAGATGGCTGTCAAAATGAAACTGCTGATAATGTTCTTATTTCCCTTTTTAAAGCAGTTGCGGAAGTCTTCCAAGACATCAATTCTGTCCTTTGTGAAGAATTTAAAAAATATCAAGAATGACATTGCTAAGATTTACTAAGTTCAGTAAAGTTACTTTGTAACTGAGAGGAAATTAAATTAGTATATCCAAGTTAAATCGGATCTCTCCCATGTTTCTGTCCAAGGTCATATCTATACTGACCTGTTATTCTGAAAGTGGGGGGGGGGGGGGGGGGGGGGAATCAGCTCCAAGGCAGCTAAACTCATGGAGCTGATTTGGGTAAACATGGCCTTGAACTACATGAACCTATGTTAATGCTCCAAAGTCTACCTGAAAATCTAAACAGGATTCCCAGCTCTGCAGCATCAAATCCATCCCTGGGCCAATCTAGAATTTGCCACTCCAGATCAGCCCCAGGATAAAGTGTCTGTGTAAAGCTATCCCAAGTTACAGTTATTCAAAAGTAACACAGCCAGTTGTAAATTCAGTTTCCAGGCCGCTGTGAATTGGAAAAAGAGAAATGCATATTGGACAATAACCTTTTAATTTTGAAAACCTTGATGAGCTGCATAAAGAAAGATCTGAAGAATTTCAGGCTCTTTGTTTGCTTAAAATATGAGACTGGGAGATTAGGCTATTCCTAGATATCTGCAATGAGGAAGCAGGAATGATGAAGAACTGGCTTCACTCCAAAATGACTTCAGGCCAGTTTTTTTTAAAAAAAAAAATCTTAATATTGATGTCAAATACATGCAGTGTGAACTCGCCTCTCTTGAAAATTAAAAAGGTAGCCAAGTATTTTTGTGGACTCACAATGTTTTTTTAAGCTAAACAAAAAATACAAATAAAAATATTATTTTTTGCAGGTGCTGTTTGTGCAATACGGTGTTACAAGATGATATTCTAAAAAATTGAACAATGGTTGGCATTGAGTGTCCAGAATCAACATCTCCCAGCATATAACAAAATGGAACCTGTGTGTTGTCTTCCAAGAAGTTACTAACAACTTCCGTATATGAGGATATGGTTTTATGGTTCTATCAATGGGTTTGTGGACTGAGTATTGTTTTTAATTTAATGACTGTTATGACAATTTGGTTATAATTAATTGCTATTGTTTTAACTCTGTATTTATTTATGGTTTTATGCTGTGTTGTTGATTTGTGGCATCGAATTGCTGCCTTTGTTAGCCGCTCTGAGTCCTCCCGGGGCGAGGGGGTTGAGAAGGGCAGGGTAAAAATGCTGTAAATAAATAAATAATAAATAGCTCCAGTGCAGTCTAGAAGAACTGATGTGAAGATACATATCACTGGCACAACAGCAAGACATTACAATAGGTCAAGAGTTCCCAAAGCGTACTCCATGGCACTGTGCTGCTTCTCTCTTCCTCCTCCAATTGTTAGCTGCTAAACTTTTGTTGAAATAAAACTAGCTTATGAAACTGCCAGTCTTGGACGTCATTTTGAAACTCATCCTGTCTTCAAGATACATGGCTACAAAAACTAAACTACAAGAACATAGGCAGCTAGAACTAAACTCCACGAGAAATTTGCTTCAAAAAGGGCTCCGTGGCTGAAAAAGTTTGGGAATTCCTGCACTAGGTAGAAATTCAAATACCACAAAAGCCCTTCCTCAGACTGTATAATTGTGTAACAGATGTCAAAATTGAGGAATCTGAAGTCTTCAATAAGGGATCAAATTATACCAGGAACAGCCAGTGGCAGCTGGTGGATTCCAGTGCATCTGACTTAGTCTGACTTTTAAACAAGCTATTCAGTGCATTGAACTTGTTGAGGAATAAGACTATGCACTTTAGATTGTTGCTTAAAATTTGGAGTTTGGGAGGAAGGGTGCCTTATCGACATGGAAAATAGAATAGCTGCAGAGTGTAGCTTAAGGGCTAGTCTGAAAACATGTAAGGTGTTTCAAAAAAGAGACCCTGTGTATAACTCTTTAGCCATAAACCACCCCCGAATGAAATTGTTATGATTTGAAAAAGAGGACCATAGAGTTTCAAATGATGACCTCTAGGTGCCTATACGAGCGTACAGACAGACCTTAGCCTCAGTTATTTGTGGGGCTGTAACTCTGCAAAGTAAGCCTTAATGCGATATTCTCAATTTGCAGGGTTATTTTTTAGATTTGTTTCTGACTCAAAATGGTAAGTAAAACATGATAACTTGAGAACTCGTTTAACCATTTGTAACTGTTGGTGTAATTTTAACATGTTGCCATTGTGAAGTATACTGCTTTGAAACTGGCTCCATCATTTTGAAACACCTTATATTTTGTACTGAAGTGCATGTTTGATTTATTCTTGTAGCCTTAATATATTTTTATATTCAATAAAGTACTATTTTTGTAAATCTTTTGTTCTCTCTCTGTGACATGATGTGGATAAAAAATAGGTTGGTCGCAAAGGTTTGGATAACACTGGTTTGAGGTCTGCATCCAATTAAGTTTTCAATAGGGTGATGACAGGCAAAAGACTGGCAGAAAGAAGCCAAACACTGAATCGGTTAAAACTACCGCGAGGCTGCCATTGGCATAAGATTATAAAAAAAATACCAAACAGTAAACTGAGTGAACAAGCAAGCTGTCTAGTTATTTTATACATATATTTATTGGTTTGATAGAGTTGATTCATGTGCTATTTTTTGACGCATTTAGCAACCTACAACTGTTATAGCAATGAGAGAGAGGACATTTCTACCAGGAAGTTCAAGACTTCTGTTTCCAGCTAAACTCCCAATAAAAATCTTCCTTTCTGCACATCACTTATTCTTAGGGCAAAAGCTGCTACCTTTGGAAGGGGACACAAAAACCATAAAGTTCAAAAAATCTTTTGAAGTCCTTGACCATAAGCTTCAATGAGACCGCAGTGTATGCAAAGCATGTGTGAGAATATTGTGACTCTCTGGGTGCGGTTGGATTGCAGTTTCCCACATTCCACACCATTGACTACATTGGCTGTGTATACAACTGGTATTTAAGCCTATTAAATTGTTATTCAGTTTTAGAAGACATGATGTCATAACCTTTGCTGTCATTATTATATTTACCTACGTCTTGCCTCTCCCAAAATTGGGACTCGGAGCAGCTTACAATTTGAGAAAGAAAGAGAAAATCATAGCAAGATTAATCAAACTTTTCACAATATTAAAACAAAAATTAAATAAGAGGTATTTAAACAATGGACAGAATAAGTACTAAACCCATGACCCCATTTTTTGGTCTGCCAGAATAAGCAAATTCAAGCTTTTTCTACCATAAACTTTCCTTCCCCCCTGCCTTTAAGACTTAGAAAACTAAACCAATTTCATTTTTTTTACTTGTCATTATTTCCCCATGCAATTCTTGTACATACAATATGGCACGATGAACTCAATTGCATACATCCCTTACGTTATAAGGGTGGTTTGGGATGGGATAAAGATGTTACCCTGTAGTTATCATGTTTTAGTGTTTTGAGTGTTGTCCAAGACTTTAGGAGACCCAGGTCCAAATCCCCATTCAGCCATATAAACTCACTAGATGACTGGCAAGTTACACTCTTTCAGCCTAAGAGGAAACCAACCTTTGAACAAACCTTATGGTTGACATGAAAGCATACAAAAACCTCAAATTGTTAAAATGCTTATAGTCAATGTGGTGTATTGGTTTGAACGCTGGACTGCAATTCAAATTCCAGCTCATCCATGAAATCCCACAGTGACCTTGGGCAAATCCCACCTCAGAAAATCCCATGGTAGGGTTGCCATAAATTGGAAATGATTCAAATGTGCACAAGAATAATGGAAATACTAGGCCTGGGTAACAACGGAAAAATTTGTTTCTAAAATCGATTCGTTTTTTGGGTTTTTTGCGTTTCGTTATTTAAAATAATTACAAAATTTTCCTTTTAAAAAGTTCGATATTTACGAAATTTCGTAAATGGTAAAAAATTAACGAATTGATTTCCGAAACAATAACGAATCGATTCGTTAATGGCGGACGCGACCGCGAAATACGCTAAAAAACCTCCAAAACCTTCTGAAGCTTCCCTCTCCCTCTGTTGTTGACTGTTGGTGTGATATTATAATTTTTTTTCACTAATTAAACCATAAAACTGGCCCAGACATGCGGAAATAATAACGAAACGACCTCAAAACAATAACGAAACGAATACAATATCGAAAATACGAAGCATTTACAAAACGTTTTTGAAAATTCGTTTTTAAAAATTGCTCCAGAATGGTTCGTTATCGTTTTGTAATTGAAAAAATTAACGAATTATTAACGAATTACGAATTAACGAAACGAAACCGCCCAGCCCTAGGAAATACACGTGCCACCTTGGGAGGCTTCTGAAAAATAATTAGAATTTTGATGTTAGATTGACAATACATTATCCATTCTAGTTGTCTAAAGTTGGAATAATGACACAGTCATAAACCTTTTGATGAACTTTTCTGTAAATCACATATTGAAGAAATAAATCTCTGCCATGGAAAAGATTTGTCTCAACTTTCAAAAGTAGACTGAACTTGGAAAAGATTGCTTTATGTAATACAATACAGCTTGAAATAATTACATTTTTTTTAGTACAACACCCAGAACTGAAGAGCTGGAGCCCCAAAAAGTGGTGCTTTGAAGTCCTGGTCTACAACTATTATACCGTTTTGTTTTTTCGGAGCAAGACTGCATCTTCTTTAATAAGGAACCAAGTTCGATTTTTTAAAAATGAAATTTACCTCTTTAGATGTTGTTAAACTGCAAGTCCCATCAGCCTTGTCACAGTCAAGGATATGCAATGTTTGGTGCAGCAATCCAACATAAGAAATATGAGCTTATTTTCCTCTTGTGTTGTCAGCTTCATTTTGTTTGGTAATGATTACTAGAATGCCCAAAGCATAAGAAGGAAGACTTACAGGCTGTCCTCAGACGCTATTCCCATTGATAGGATAGCTGCTATTTCCTCAAAGCATAACAGCTCTGGGAGCTGGAATTGGACTGCAACTGAGATGTGACCATCATAAACTTATCCCATGTTCTATTTCTGATCCAGATCATACTGCAAATGACTGCTATTAATATAGGATAATAAAGGAAAATAAGGACAACATTGAACACAGAGTGGTACCATCATCTATGATACATCTATCCATAGTTTCAAACTTATCCATGGTAAAATTTTCTACGTTGATTTCCCTTCTGTGGAAGTCCTTAAACATTTACTACAGAATCCCTGCATGTGACAAGATTCAATGAAACATGCTCAAATCATGTAGGATGCTTCTAAATTGACTGAATCTATTATTACTTTTTCCCAGAATTGGGAATTCATCATAGACAGCAGAGCACATTATTAGATTGAATTATGGGAGGAAAGTGGCGGAGGGTGTGTGTAAGCAAACCTTAGACATGAGATACTGTGTTAGAGTTCATGGTGGAGGAGATTGTATCCATCAGAAAGTCCATGAGCCTGGAAGTGGATGAAGCAGACGTTAACAACCTTGTCAAGCAGCACAAGGAACTGACAACGGAGGAATTCAAGGAGTTACAGGAGCATCTACATAGAGGTTTTGCAGGAAATTAATGTGGAGGAGCCAGAGGTGGAGTGAGATTAAGGAAATGTTGGGAATGTGGGAGAGAAAAAAAACAGATTTTATTGTAGCAACACAAAAGTTACTACAGGTTGTGCATTGGCACTATATAATGACATTTACCCCACTCACTTTAGAAACAATTTAAAAAAGAGGAAGAAAGAAATTGCCTTGGACAGGTTTTTATTGAAATGCCATGCAAGTGAAAGCAAAGAAAGTGTGGTGAAAAAAGGCAAATGTCAGTGAAGAAGAAGACGATTAAGTGAAGTCTACACTTAATAAATCCAGTTTATTTCTTTACATTCTCTTTTATTATGTAGTATTATTTTTGTGTACATTATTTGTTATTTTCTTATTTAAATACATGTAACCAAAAATAGGTGTTTTGGGGGGTTGGAATGAATTAATAGTTTTTCAATTCACTTCAATGAAGAAAAATGATTTGACATAAGCAATTTGAGTTAAGAGCTCAGTCACAGAATGAATTAAACTTATGTCAAGGTATCACTGTATTTCTATTCTCTCGCATGCAGATTCTATCCTCATAATTTATCTAACCAAAATCAAGACCGTTATCAGTTCTGTGTTGTAAATTGGCATGTAACCTATAGAGACTTATATCATTACACATATGTCGTCTCAGCATCCTGTGATAAATAGAAGTGAGTCAGGGGAAATATTTAATGTACACCCCTCATAACTCACCAAAACTACAAATTCCAGGAGTCCAAAGCACTGAGTCCTGGCAGTTAAAGTGGTGCCAAACTGCATTCATTCCACTGTGTAGATGCACCCCAAATAACAACTTGTCTGACTCTCCCAAGCTTGACAGAAACCTTATCAATCCAGTCTCCCTCCATCCGCTGGCAGAATGGACTTCCTTTTTCTTTTGCAGCTGTTGCCCATGAAAGTAGGTTAGAGGAGGGGAGTTACAGTCATTGCAATATTGTCGCAATTGTTACTAAGGAGCAATCATTAATATGGAATATTTACAGATGAGTCAATCTAGGTAACTCTTCCGTATTCACAATCATAAGTTAGTCACAATTGTGACACTATTGTCACAACTGTAACTAGCCCATTCTACATCAGCTGCATGCCAGCATCCAACAATCAGGGGCATGGCAAATGATTGGCTTCCATCAGGTTTGGGTAAGATCAAGCCAGCAATATAGTTAACTGAAAAGCTGGTGTACAATAATGGCCATGAGCTTTTGGAGAATTCCCTTTTAGTCTTTTGTTGCTGCCGTAGCAGTAATGATTATCATTTTGATAGAACAACAAAGGCAAGCTGAGTTCTATGTCGTATCCTCTGTGTTATTTTTGAATACTATATATGTAAAGATGTTTACACATTTAAAAAAAACACTTTGTAATCTTTTGTTGCTGAGATAATGATAATAATGATCAGCTCTCTAACAGGAATCACCAGGCATCACAGCAATGAATTAAATTACAATCTTCCTAACCAGCTACATTTTGCAATTTTATGTCCAAATAAATACCCACCTTCTTAAGCAATATGACTGTCATTTCTTGTTTTTGTTTCCATCGGAGGCCGCAATAAATCAGAAGAGCAGATTAATTTTAATTCTGCCCTCCAACTGCTACAGCAAATAACTGCACATGATCTTATTATTTCTCATTTAATTAAAAGTATATTTCCATTTGTCCCAGTGTAAAGTGACAAACACATATTTTACATATTTTCCATTAGGAGATATTACATTTGGTGTTAGGAATCACTTTTTGCCATAGAAAAGATGCCTAATAAACCAATT